ATAGGTTTCGGCATCGAAGGTAGAAGTTTAAAGCTTCAAAGTTCATTAGGTTTGAATTGGAGGGTGATTCGTAGTTTCGAAGTTGTTTGATGTGATTTGAAGGCTCGACTCAGTTCGTAATGTGTTTTGGAACGTGTTGGTATAATTGGTTGAGGTCCCGAGGGCCTCGGGTGGAATCTGGATGGTAAACGGATCGAGTTGGGACTTGAAAGAAGAGCTGAGGGCTGCTTTCTTCTGGTGTAACCGCACCTGCGAGGTTAGGGCCGTAGGTGTGGAGCCGTAGAAGCGGACATGAGGGTCACAGAAGCGGCTTAGGCTGGGGAAGGTTGGGACCGCAGATGCGGTTAAGTTCCGTAGAAACGGGACCGCTCCTGCGCATGTGGAGTCGCAGGAGCAAAGGCGTAGAAGCGGATAGGGGCCGCAAATGCGGAGTTGAGGGGTATGAAGGAGGACCGCAGAAGCGGTAATGTGGCCGCACCTGCAGAACCGCAAAAACGGTCAAGGGACCGCAGGTGCGAGAGGTCGCTGGGCGGATTGTTTTAAAGAGAGATATTTGGCTCTTCTTCTCTCATTTTCCACTTGGTTGAGGCGATTTTAGAGAGCTTCAAGGAGGGATTTTCATCAAGCAACATAAGGTAAGTGATTCCTACCTATTGCAAGTTAAATACATGATTTGTATAAGGATTTAAGCATGTAAATTAGTAGAAATTATGGGGGGGTTTGGTAGAAAATCTAGAAATTATATTTTTGGATTTTGACCACGAAATTGGACGTGGAACTTGGAATAACTTATATATTTGAGCTTGTGGTGATATGGGTAAGGTTTATTTTCGAAATTTTTTGAAATCCGGGCACGTGGGCCCGAGGGTGGTTTTTATCGACTTTTCGAACGGAGTTGAGAATTGTTGTAACTAGGATTACAATGAGTATTTGAGTATATATTTATGGAATTTCTCAATTTTTGACTAGTTTCGGAGCGTTGGGCGTCAGTTTGAGTTGTCGGAAGGCCTTGGGAGCCGGTTATGGAATTCCGGAGCGAGGTAAGTCTCCTTTCTAACCTTGTAAGAGGGAAATAACCTCATAGGTGAAATAATACGATATGTGCTTCTATTTGTGGGGGCTACGCACGCACGATGTGACGAGAGTCCGTGCGTAGCTACTATTATGCTAAGTCCGGGTAGTCTAGACCCAAATCATGCTCTTGCGATATTTGCAACCTTATTGTTAATTTAAATTGCTTAAATCATAGTGAACTTGGTAAATTAATTTTTAAAAGGTTAAATTTTATTTTTCCTGACCGTTAAATGAGAATTGACATTTTCTTGGATAATTGCTCCTTAAAGAATTCTTGATTGACTGTTGAATGTGTTTATCTTTTGTAGAGCGGGACGAACGCATCGACAGATTAAATAGATGCATCTATGGTTCGCGTCGTTCGACCCTCGGCAGTACACAGTTTAAATATTTATGTTGGAGCGGGTCGTACGACCTCAGCATGATTTGCTCATGATTGAATTGATTGCTTTGGAATTTATAATAAATTATATTGTCTCCTTGGCCTGAGATAAATTGTTAAATAATGGAAAATAAATTTGGAGATTTCTTAATTATAAAAGAACTGCTTACTTACTTCAAAATATTGAGCTTGCAACCGTTTTATATAATGCATACTTAATTATATCATTGATATCCTATTTATAGCCCATAGTAAGTGTCGAAGTCGACCCCTCGTCACTACTTCTTCGAGGTTAGGCGGGATACTTAATGGGTACGCGTTGATTTACGTACTCATACTACACTTGTTGCACATTTTTGTGCAGGTACATATATGTTTAGTGGCCTTGTGGGTGCAGAGGCACAGTTACGGCGGGGACTTAGGTGAGCTGCATTATATACCACGATCCGCAGCCAACAGAGTCTCCTTCAGAGTATTTATATTTTTCCTGTCCAATTTGTATTCCGGATAGCTATTGTATTTTATTTTATATTCCTAGTTAATGCTCATGCACTTGTGATACCGGGGTTTGGGATGATTATAGGTTGTTCTGTATTGAATTTGTAAAAAATATTATTATTTACTCTGTAAATTCCCATTCGTTACTATTTAAATTGAAGGAAAATATGATTTCAAAAGTAATAAAATGAGAACCCAATTAAGTATTTATTGTTGGCTTGCCTGACAGTGGTGTCCGGCGCCATCACGACCTTTATGGATTTTGGATCGTGACATTACATAGCCTAGTAATTACACAATATATTAATTATGACAACCATTTTTTTTGTCATAACGTAATTATAGTGAAATTACAAGTGAACTGTTTGGTTACACAAGTGTAATTACATAGTTAAATTAAATTTTAAATAAATTAATTATCAAAATTTAAAAGTTAATATAATAAATATATGCCTATAATAATTTTATAAGTATAAATGATATTAGATTTGCTATTTAAAATGCATATTTTTTATTGAATATACATTAATTAGTAATCATATATTTATAATTGATATTGTAAAAATAATTGATATATATATTTACAAATTAATTATATTTAGTTTAATTAATTATAAAACATACGTTTTGTAAGAACATCATGGAATGCATGTTTGATAAAATAAATTAATATTTATAAATATAATATCATAACATTATTCAAATAGTTGACAAACTAATCTATCAATTCTAACTAAAAACTGAACAAGATGCAATGTGAAATAACAAGTCAATACTACTAGAACAAGTAAATTGGAACCATAAATTTAACACAAATTCAAAATCCAAGAAAAAATAATAATTTAACATATGTCAAATTCCAACATAATAAAAATAAGTTCCAATACAACTTAAGATTAGAAAATATAATAAGTTTAAAACCTTATTCAACAATAAAATTTTACTTTAATGACACCACTCATTATATGTTAAATTTGTTATTGACTCATTATTTCTAATATTAGGAGGTGTAATTTCAAAATCTAGAATAATAACGCAGTTACGCTAAATGAAGAAAATAAAATAAATAAGAAATAAAATATATGAGCAATTACACGGAATCACAAGAAGTAAAGGTAGAAAAATAAAAGATAAATAATGTACATAGAAAAATATATTTTAAAATTAAAAAAAGAAATTAAAAAGTAAAAATAAAATAAAATGAAAAGGAATTAAAATAATAGAAATAAAAAGTTAAAAAGAAAATAAATTAAAATAGTAACAAAAAAGAAAGAAATTAAAAAGTAACTTTGTAATTACACAGTGTAATTACCACCAATTCTCACATACCCCTTGAGAATTGGATAGTGTAATTACACATATCCAATTACACCCAATTCCACGCTGACCAAGTAATTACTTGGCCAGACAAACATGTCAAATTGTATAATTACACCCAATTACACCCAAATCCATTCCTAAGTTGCTTACCAAACATTCTCCAAGAGAGGCTGTTTTTTTCAACGTAAACATGTATGCATATTAATCTGTTAAATCTGAATAATACGAGAAGGCATGTTAATTTGGAAGAAAAGATGTCATACTACACACTAAATAATAAATTTAAAATTTTATCAACCGAATATTTCTTTTCCGATTAGCCGATATTAACTTAATAATTATAATTATATTTCTTTCTTGAGAATTTAGATTAGTATCTTAATTAAATTTATATTATTTTTAAAGGTTACTGTTGATTAAAATGTATCAAGTTGAGAGTTTCATTTTTCTTGCTTCTTTTCCTTTAATTGTACATTTAAGAAATATATAAGTAAATCTAAGCCAAGCAAGTCAAATTCGACTAGTACAATTAAAGGCTATTCTAACAACAACAACGACAACCCAGTGAAATTTCACAAGTGGGGTCTGGAGAGGATAATATGTACGCAACGTTACCCCTACCCTGAGAGGGTAAAAATACTGTTTTCGATATACCCTCAGCTAAAGAAGATGGAAGAAGCGCTGATAGCAATTCATAGCAAGGAAATATATTAGGAAAATAAATTGAAGATAGCAATAAAGATTATGAAATAAGTAGCTATAGCAAGTAATAACAAGACAATCTATTTAGAGAAATAAATACGAGGTCTGATAGCAATAGAGAATCTGAAAGGAGCTTTTATAGAAAACCAAGGAAGTAGTGGTGACAAGTAATAACAGAACAAGATATGAAAAATAGCAAACTCAGGATAAAAGGATACCATACTAACACTAACACTAATGAACTACTGAAGACAAAGGGAAACGCGCGACTACCTACTAACGTTCTACCCTAATCCTCAACCTCCACGCCCTCCTATCCAGGGTCATGTCTTCGGTTAGCTTAAGCTGCGCCATGTCCCGCCTGATCACTTCTCCCCAAGACTTCTTTGACATACCTCTACCCTTCCTCCTACCTCCCAAGGCCAACCTCTCACACCTCCCGACTAGGGCATATGTGCTTCTCATCTTAACATACCCGAACCATCTCAGCCTCGCCTCTCGCATCCTTTGCTCCACAGAGGCCACTCTCACCTTGTCCCGAATAACTTCATTCCTAATTCTATCCAACCTAGTATACCCACACATCCATCTCAATATCCTTTTTTCAGCTACTTTCATCTGCTAGACGTGGGAGTTTTTGACTGGCCAACATTATGCCCCATACAACATAATCGGTCTAACCACAATGCCAAGCAAGTCAAATTCGACTTTCTAATTAGGAATGACAATATATTTTTGTCAAATTCGAATGACCGGAATTTTTATTTAATTTAGCTTTAATTTATAAATAAAATACTTTTGAATGATATTGTAAAAAGTATTGTCAAGGAGTGGGATAAATACAATCAAATATCACCAAATTAATTTACGGATAAAGCAATAAATTAATAACAAAATAAAAATAAAAATACGAGTATAAAAAGAGCGCGAGAAAGGACAATTTTACACTTTCTTTCAGGAGCATTCCCACTCAACGGTGCTTCTAAGTAAACCATTCAATTCCGCTACCAAATTTTCCCGATTCCGATCGTTCGTCACCGTCGATCCGCCGGCAATGGCGAATCCAATCGTCAACGCTGAGTACTTGGAAGGAGTCGAGAAAGCTCGTCGAGATTTCCGCGCTCTTATCTCCAGCAAAAATTGTGCTCCTATCATGCTTCGATTAGCGTACACAAACACTCTCTCTCCGTCCTTCATTTTCTGAATAAAACTACTTCGTTCGTCCAAATAATACGAGGAATTAAGTTTATTCGACTTACTTAATTTCATGTTTAAATTCGTTAATAATTTAGAATAACTACATTTGGAGAAACTACTTAGTATTAAATACGTACTTGTGTTTCTGTGTAGATGGCACGATGCAGGAACATATGATTGTAAGTCGAAGACAGGAGGACCTAATGGTTCAATCCGAAATGAGGAAGAGTTCACTCATAATGCTAACAATGGCTTGAAAATATTCTTCAATTTTGTGATATTTTTCTCAAAAGCGGATCCAGAATTTCAAGAGGATGAGTGCACTGTTGTGAAGGGGTGGATCTAGAATTTACATTTGACTACTTTAATTTTAGTCTCTTACTATGAACACACTACACATTTAAAATTATAGGTTCAAAATTATATTCTTTTTGAAATTTTAGTAATTTTCACATATGTATCTATACTTTGTGCCGAAAACAAGACCGCTCAGAGTGGATTTGAACTGCCAATTTTACTTGCAGTGGTGCACCCAATAATAATTACACCATAAGAGTTTTTGAGCATGGGTTCACGCACATATATTTAAGTAATTTTGAAGAAATATAACATTATACATAATTTAAGGATAGGAGTATGAGTTCACGTGAATCCATATCCCTCAACTTGTATACGCCTCTGATTTATTTTTTCCTACTTCACGCTCCAAATAAAAACTGATTGACTTAGTTCTTTTTTTTATATTAAACTTTCTAAGAAGGTCCAATTTGAGATGCACAAAGGACAACACTACTCTATCGGTCTGATGTTGTTGCATGACTGATTGTCATTAGCTGGTCTTAAGAAGCTTTTTGCATGACTAACCTTTTGCTAGTCCAGCTGAGACAAAACATACTAGCTAATTCCTTCCTCCCTAACTTACTATCTGCCTAAGACTTCGTGGCAGAGTTAGCACGTACTTGTGCTGGCGGAAAATTGCTAGTACCCCAACATCACAAGTATCGTGTGAAATAGTCGAGGTGCGTATAAGTTGTCCAAGGTACCATCGATATTCAAAAAAATGAAAAAAACACAATTCTGGAAATTTGCACTTAAACCAGCTTATTTATATTCCAAATTCAGCACTTAGCAAAGCTGCCCCTTAAATTATATTGTTGAATAGCTCAGAATGTCTGATGCATCTTTTGCCTCCAACTACACTCAATATGCAAATGAACTTGCAATGTTAATGGTCATGATGCTCCGTTAAAGCAAATGACTCAATGTATGGTTGGGTAGGTAGGGGAAAGGTACCAATGAGAGGTAAAAAGAAAGGTGATAATCACTTTAGTCGTATAGTTAAAAACTAAAGGATGAAGAGTTTGGAACTGGGTGGGATGGGGGGTTTTCGACCCTCCTACTTCAGATTTTTCTATCCCTTTGAACTTAGGTGAAAATGAGAAAGTAAATCTCATTTGCTTGTCTGGTAGACTGGTAGTTATAAAGACAACCTTAAAGGAATAATAAATACTTCTCATTTGAGAAGCAGGACAATGCCTTGATTCCCCTCCCTTTCGTTGAAGTGGGCAGTCTATTATATGTTTTTTCGCAAACTCGAACAAAAAATTAGAGCTTCTATCCATTGGAAATCAACTTTTGAGGGAATTTTTCTTTAATCATTATTGTTTGCCCGAAAAATGGTACAGTTGAATTTGTTCGTGGTTTTTAGACATATAAATTAATTTGATCCCAAAAGATAATGAATTAATCAATTTCCGTACAAGATACTTAGCTCAAATATAGATAAAACGATAGATTTGGAGAGCCCAGGAACAGATTTTTCGGGTACGATGATGATAAGAACAACAAGCTAGAGAGAGAAATAGTATCAAGATGCTATATTGGAATGTGTTCTTTGATCTCCAAAAAATCTTGTCTTACAATGATAGTTGAGCCTATTATTTATAGCTCAGTGGGCGTATTGGTCGGGCCCACCACTAATGACAATTATTGAAGTGCGATAATGGAAACCTAACGAAAAACATAAATGCCCAATTTCCTGTAATGGGCCATTATTCTTTAATGTTGTAGAATATTCTTCATTAAATATTACCAGACGCATCGTGCTTAATGCCTTTATGGACTTGCCTTTCTCGGTGACACACGAGGTAGACGTGCCCGGTTTTGCTTCATTCTCATTCTCATTCTCTTAAGAGAATGTGGTAGCAATATGTAATAAGTCTGAAAAAAGATAAAATTATTACGATAAATGTATCTAAATAGATGTGGATGTGGATGTGGCAATAGAGAAAATTATAATCGTCATCATTGTGCTAATGAGAACACTCAAAATAATCCTTAACTCTGTGAAAGTAATATTTGTCATCAATTTGATATGAGATTTTGTAAAGCACATATAGATGATTATGGTCCATTCATTATGTGAATGTGACAATATGTGATTTATGAATACATACTCATTCTTGGGAGAATATGAACGTGCTTGTGGTAGTGAATATACCACACTTACCTCTAAAAGGAGATTTGAGATGAAATAAGAAAATAATTTTACTATTATGGCACGAATAGTCATTGATCACGTACATATTATGATTATGGCAATGTGATTATTACAGGGCAAAAGTAATAGAAGCAACATATCTTGCCAGTAATAATTTTGACCATGATCATAATGGTATAACTTTCTCTTTAAAAGAGATATTCACCATATGGATGTTGATGAATATGTGATAGTACAAAATTAATTGAGAGCTCTGGAAGAGCCAATTATACTATTTTGGAGAAATAAAATTGATTATCAATGCGGTATTGTATCGTACTAAGTCTCAAAGAAACCTATTGAGTTTCTAAAGTATTCGTGAAAACGATTGGTTATATTGATACTCTAATAAAGTAAAGATTTAATATCTTCTATTACTACAACGTGTAGCGGGGTAATATGTATGTGAAAAGCTACTCGCTTTATTCTCCAGTTTGTACTACACAAATAAAAGAATGTCACAATAAAGTAGAAGTTTATTGATATAAAAAAACCCATATCATAATAAACTTGGAGTTTATTGATAATTATACATGTCATGGTGTAAACCTGAAATTTATCAATATTGATAATTTATCAAATTGGCATAACTAGTTTAGCCATATCAATTTAAGTATGATGTGCAAAATTAAAAGAGAATTCACATGGGTAAATATTAAAGAACTAGAAAATTCTTTACGAATTCTCTTATGTTACTTGTTCTCATTAATTAATAGACCAACTAAAATTGGGATTGAATCTCATGAATGCTGAAAATATCAAAGGTGAATATGGGCTCATTCACCCGCCATGTATACCACATAATATGTATCTATGAGATGGTTACATGTGCGATTATTATTAATCTGCAACCTGATGTTTGCGAAGTAACTTGCTCGATAATTTAACTTCGAGCATAATTTTCATATTTTTATTCAAGACAGTTCACCTTGATAAGTTGGTTTACATCACAGCTGGTTTAGCAAAATAATTTATTGAGTGTCTCCACTTAATAGCTAAACTATTGTTTATGAGAGCAAAGTTATCTATATCAGTTTGTTATAGGTTATATACGAAAGTATATTACATTCTCCCCTCATAAGTGATTCAGGGTCAGGAATCAAATAATTTCATCTTATTATTATTGATGTGCGGTGTATATTTTGATTAACACTATAACGCACAAAAGTGGGTTTTCAAAGTTGAGGAAGCAAGTTCATTTTCCTAACATAAGGAGGAGACATAATAAACAGTTGAGAAAATGTTATTGTCACGACCCGGAATTTTCCACCGACGGGACCGTGATGGCGCCTAACATTTTACTTGCTAGGCAAACCAACGATAGAAAATCATTAAACCAATTCCTTATTTTTATTCAGTAAATAACAATAATTAACTAAGATGAAATATGATAAGTGCGAAATATTATAAAAATGTATTAATTACTACCACCCGAATCTGGAATCATAATTCACGAGCATTCTAGAATTTTTTACAAGTAATAGTCTGAAAGAAATACAATTGTCTGAATGAAAGAAACAGTAGGACAGAAAAGATAGACGGGGACTTCAAGGTATGTGAACGCCGACAGATCTACCTTGAGTCTCCGGTCAGCAGACCAATAGCAAAAATCTCGATCAACCCGAGCCGGTACCAAAATCTGCACAGAAAGTGCAGAGTGCAGTATCAGTACAACCGACCGCATGTATTGGTAAGTGTCGAGCCTAACCTCGACGAATTGAAGAACTAAACAGGAAATGTCAGGAGGGGAACATGCTGAGGGGAATACGAGATAAAGAAATACAACAGAATGATAACCGAAGCAGTCAACATACCATGAATCAACAGGAATAGTGAATACAGTAAAGAAAAAATGTACGGCATCACCCTACGTGCTTTTACTCTCAATCTCACCATAAAATCAATAGAAACAACACGGCATCACCCTTCGTGCATTAACTCTCATATCATGGCACGGCATCACCCTTCGTGCATTAACACTCACAATATGATACGGCATCACTCTTCGTGCATTAACACTCACAATATGGCACGGCATCACCCTTAGTGCATTAACACTCACAATATGGCACGGCATCACCCTTCGTGCATTAACACTCTCCCTTACCATAATGCAATGCATAAATAACAACAGGGAGATAGAATAACAAGTACAAACCTTACTTCAATATTTGGTTACATAATATAAATTTCAACTTTTAAATAAATACTCGATTACCAACAGAAAATTCGTAAACATGATAATGACGATCAATTTAACAACACTAGTATAAACATGTAGCAATTAGGCATAAAAAAGAGACAATATAAGAAAATAACGGAAGAAACATGGAAAAATAGGTAAATTGGCGGCGCATAAGTACTCGTCACCTCACATATATGCCGCTCACATGAATTGCACTTAGCAAATAATCTAAGGTTCCTAATTCCCTCAAGTCAGGGTTAGACACAATACTTACCTTGTTCCGAATGCCACACAATTCTTAATCACAGCTTTTCCTTTAGAATTCACCTCCAAGCCACTCGTATCTACTCAAAATGACTCAATAATATCAAATATTGCTAAAGGAATTAATTATATTGCATAAATTAAATTTTCCAAAATTTCCTCCAAAAAGTCAAAAAATCGACCCCGGGCCTGCTAGGTCAAAACCCGAGGTTCTGACCAAAATACATTTACCCATTCACCCCAAGCCTGAATATATAATTAATTTTGGAATCCGACCTCAAATTGAGGTCTAAATCCTCAAATTTTCGAAATCCCTAGTTTCTACCCTAACCCCTAATTCTACCATGAAAACTCTAGA